GCCATTACAAAACTTTTTCTATGTATCCCTAAATGTACTGGCATGTACCCCAAGTTAGGAATCAATGTTCTGGAGTGATGAAACACTATTGTTTCCTTTTAATTTAAATGTTCTGTCATTTTTTTCTGCCAGATTTAGAGGTTTTCTGTATCCAGGCTATATTGCAGTCTCTTCCCCTTGCAAGGGGTTGAAACAATGTCATGAAGTCATTCATTCTTAGTGATTGGGGTATTCTTAAATAAATTGCACATGGGCTGTACATAAGGAGACTGCAAAAACACTTGAATGGATGAAGGTGAGTTTGGGGTTAGGTGACTCAACAATATGAGGCTGTAAGCAATCAAAGAATATTACACAGCACATTGTCCTTAGTGTACTTGTCTAAATGTTAAAGTAGCATTAAACTCCCTTAATGAAACTATGCTCTCTATTTAAATGCATATTAGCTCTTCAAAATTAATTTAATGGTAAAGTGCACCTTTTGCAAAACTCTTATTTCCTTTTATTTATTTCTCCAGAATGCTTTTTCAGATGCAGCGCTCCGACACCTTTCTGTCCACTGATAGTTTCAGTGTAATCTAGGTTCTGTGCACCATATCAGTGATGGCATTGACTGTCAATCATAGTATGTGGGTGGAGAAGTGGGCGGGTCACACTACCTCTTCTACAGCACAGCCACTGTGCCGCCTGCGTGTGTGCGCAAAGAGCGGCCTGACAATGTCGATCAGTAGTCCCAGGTGGGGGAGCCTCATTCTGGTGGCTCCATAGGGACCCCACTAATGTAGCCACCACAAAGGAGGAAGTCAAGATTAAAATAGAGCCAGGGAAGTACAGATGCCAGTGACAGCAAAATCACTGGACATACAGCAATGTAAGTAACAGTAGCGAAGGCACTCTATGTAAACAGTAGAGTGTATATGCAGAAAACATTGTGCTATTATGTATGTACTGTATGTTGCCTATACACCTTGGCAATAAAACCGCCCACACATGGGCAAATTGGGTTGCCAACACAGTTTTGGCATGACGTGGCCTTATCTGCAGTAGATTTGGCAACTGGAATACGGATGTTTGCAACACATACCAAAGAGATGGACCATATGGTAAAATAGAAGCATATGTGTGAAAGCTTCATACACACACCAACGCACCCCTTATATGGACACATATTCCAGCCTAGCTATTAAGTATTTACATAGACGTGTGTTGGTTTGTATGGAGATCGTATGAAGCCCAATTACCCGTAGAGCAGGTCTGATCTGACTGATAGTTGGCATTCTTTGTCTTGCAATAGTCTCTCTCCTATCCAAAGTGTATTTTAGATCACAATTATATGGCAGTGCGTACAACTTGAAATTTAGGAAATAGTCTTTGTTATTAAATATCAGATCCAGTTACAAGTTTTTATAATTTCTTTTTTTTTTAACATGTTTAGTTCTTCAGTTTGACAAGAATATAGCTTAAACCCCCAAAACACAGTGCAATACATACTTAATGTTTATAAACCAGTAAGAATAGAAATCAATTCTTTGTATTCATTTATTTTCATTCATGTATTTATTCATCCATTCTTTCATCTCAATCAGTTGCAGGTATTGTTCTTAGAGTGCGGGGTATTTTGTAACTATTATGTATCCAAATCATCCATTCTATATAGCACAATGTACTAAAGTACACCTATTTCAGTAGTTTGCTTCTCGGCCTTTTGGCTAAGATCAAGTGTAGTATCTGTTCTTATCAGTTGTTGGAGGGGAAAGGATGCTGCTGCCCTATGGGAGAGCATTCGAGTACCCTCTGGCGTAATTGGTGGGTGTCAGAGGATGGTTCGGTCTGCTGCTGGTTGCGTCAGGCTCTGAGGTTTAACGGGTAGACCACAGACAGCAGAAGGACCCCCGATGGCACTACCTTCTGGAATGAGCGGAGAATCACTTGGTCTGGCCAGAGGGTAGGGAGGCGGCCAAGCCCGTGGTGTTGTGCCCCCTGGGGGTGGCGTCCCAGGGGTGCTCAGAAAGTCACTTGGGTGTGGGACCCTACATGACTCACTGCAGCACTAGGACACACACCACATTGCATTTTCTGCACTTCGCCTCCGAGACAGGCCTTATGGCTAGTCCGGGGCAATATTTTTGCACTCCGGCCCCTAGGGCCTGTCAGCGTGGTGCACTGGCACTATTTATTAATTTATTGCACTACATGCACGATTGACACTTTTTTGTTTTTTAAATTTGACCCACAGAGTGCTAGGGTGCAGGTACCTTCGGGGACCATTCCCGATGCAGGGGAGGAGGTTCTGTGCCCTAATATAGGGTTCTCTGCCTCCTCCCGAACCAGGGAGTCTCTCTTCGTGAGAGCTCCCTACCTAGTACTTGGTGGGACCTGTTTCGGCAGGTCCCAGAAGGATCGGGGTCTGCCAGCCTCCGGGTTGGTGGACCAAAGTATCTCAACCCCTGTCAGGAGCCTTGCGCCCCGGGCGGTCGGGAATTCGAGGTCCCTTCTTTATTGAAGGACCAAGCACCCTTGTGCACGTTTTTGTGTGCTGTGATTTCACGGTTCACTTTTTTTGTTCACAGGGGGAAGTTTGTTTTATGATGCACGTCTCTTTAAAACACCTATTTCAGTAGTAAATATTTTGCCTATTTGTAGTAAATAAACCTACTTGATCCACAACTTCCATTATTATGATAAACAGTCAAAAAAAAGGCAACCAATGGACTAGTGTTCTACTGTAGCATCTGAAAAAAAGAGATTATGTTAAGTATCTCAACCCCTGTCAGGAGCCTTGCGCCCCGGGCGGTCGGGAATTCGAGGTCCCTTCTTTATTGAAGGACCAAGCACCCTTGTGCACGTTTTTGTGTGCTGTGATTTCACGGTTCACTTTTTTTGTTCACAGGGGGAAGTTTGTTTTATGATGCACGGCTCTTTAAAACACCTATTTCAGTAGTAAATATTTTGCCTATTTGTAGTAAATAAACCTACTTGATCCACAACTTCCATTATTATGATAAACAGTCAAAAAAAAGGCAACCAATGGACTAGTGTTCTACTGTAGCATCTGAAAAAAAGAGATTATGTTATGTATAGGCTTCTTTGGGGTCTTATGACCCCATTTAAAGAGACAGCTAGAAAAAGAAAATGAGTAAGCAATCAGGCACATGCCATCAAGACAGAGTGTATCTCTAATAAGCCCTATACTGTACACTACCAGCGCCACATTATATTTATAAATAGATGAGCATGGTCATAAAGGGTTCAGGAAGGAAGTGTCTAGACTTTGTTCATTTTTTAAATGGTGACACCATCTGATTCAGTTACAAAAGGTTCCCGCTGCTGGCATGCCTTTCTCCAACAATATTGATTTAGAAAGATTTATGCTGTAAATAAAATATCCTTTTGTTGTGCCCTTCATTGGCAAAGAGCATAACATAGACTGTACAGCTTTAACTTGAAGACCTAGATGATCTACACTAAAGTAATGCTACAAGAATACTTTGAAATATACAAGTGTTTAAAAGTGTTTGTCATTTATAAAGTGGAGTACCGTAGCCCAGGATGTTTGTTTTTTAATATTGGCTTAAATTTCAACCATAGCTTTAGTTTACATATATAATGTAATGCATAAAGGGATGCACAGCATAGACAAGACTGATGATCATTTAGATGTACAGATATTTAACTAAGCATAAATCAGGCTAATTTGGGGATTTGCCAGTAATATGTAGAGATTATATATCTATATATCTATATCTCTATATCTATGTATAGATATAGAGATATAGATATATATACACATATACATATATACATATATACAGACACACAACTGCTTTTGTATACTGTAGATTGGTAACTATTATTCATCAAAAACCATTCATTCATAAAACACCAATATTGGGTTCATCATGCTGCAACACCGCCCCTTCACGACCACACAGCAGGGAAGAAAAATGGGTGGCTGCTAGCTGGGCTCGTCTACGCCTCCACAGTAAAAAGAATGCAATATTGGGTGCAACTCTCATTTTGTAAACAATCTGTGTTTCTTGGCTTTTTCACATCAGCAAGAACGATGCAATATATGGTACCATGTATTAAAGGATATTAAATAAATAACACAAAAAGTTCATCCATCAATAATAAAAACATTAATTATATGGATAAGGTATGGTGTAGATGTACTGGCTAATTCAGTTTATATACATAAATCTTTTTTCTAATCCATGTAGCCTTATTCTATAATATATCCCATGGTGCAGATTGCACTAGGCAATGGCACCCAACTCAATTTCAGCCTGCATTGCAGATCAGTAGAAAGTGAAATCGGACGAGGTGCTAGGGCTTAATTCACTTTATGCATCATGAAAAGTCATGAGAACTCATCATGAGAATTTCCTTACTTAGCATGCCCTTTTAAGAATAGCTTATTTTTATACCACTGTGAACATGGGCACAGGTAAGAATTATTTTAAGAAAAACCCACATATTAAGAATATTTAAAATGCAATGAAAAATGCTTAAATGCTTAGCAATTCATAGGTTTTGTTGTTTTTGTAAAATACCCTAAGAAATGACATTTTACAGGATGAGGATTTTTACGTTGGGTAGCCATCAGCCAGTGTTACATAAGGCAGCAGCTAGTGTCAGAACAATTCTACAACAGGTTATTGCTTCAGCCACATCCTTGAGATTCAAGTTTTCCTTCTCAGCTCAGAATAACTGACAGATTAGAATATTTCACTAAAAAGGCTCAGGGCTTCTTGTTTGTATGAAAGAGACAAGCACAGAATAAGAAACGTGAAGTATAATTAGCATCCTTGCTGTGAATGGAAGACAAATAAAAAGCGGGATAAAGGAGCGGTTATGCTTTAAACAAGAGTGAATGACACAAATAACCTTATGGAAACAGCCTGTCTGTAGCCAAACTGCCTGCTGTATTGCCTTGCAGATTAATCTTGAATCAAAGTCCCCTCCCAGCACACTCACACACACACACACATATACAGAGCAGAGGCTGCTGGCTGAACCACACTTCTAATCTTCTCTCCGAAGCGGCTGCAAATGTGATCTGGAACAATAAATAAAAAACAGTGTAGAGCCGGTGCTATGAAATGAAACAAGCAGAGGACGATAAAGCACTATTTTACTAGGTTGTAAAAATAAAAGAAGGTGGGGCTGGAGGATGACTGAGAGCCACAAGCAGCCAGCTAACCTTAGAAAATATTGACTTTTTTTAGTCTATTTATTGGTGGAGGAACAAGAAGCGTGTCCAGCTTCGCGGAGATGAAGACAGAGAGGGAGGAGAGAAGCAAAGTGTTAATGACAGAGTGCGAAACATAGCCTCACTGGATCACTCTGGAATATTAGAGTGGAATGCTGAATCCTGGATGCGATGTGGATATAAAAAAGTACCAGCGTGCTGCTCAATACTAACAAGTTTGGAAAATATTTAGCGACATGGCATAAGGGTGTTGCCTGCTTTGGATTTTATCAGAGATGTAAAAATCAGGAGGCGGCTGAGGTGTAATCAGTTTACTCTTGATCTGATTGAAGAAGAGCACACAGGATCCATCTACATCGACAGTCTAATTTCTCTTCTCTGGATTGAACAAATTGGATATTTACTTTCAGAACACAGGCAAGCTTTCCTCTGCCTGCAGAATGTCATGCGACATTACATACCTGCGCTTCATCTTATCTCATTGGTATTTTAGAACTGTTCACTTGTAGAAAGTCGACAAAACATGTTAAGTCGCTGATTGCGCTTCTTCTGTGCATTGCGGAATTGAAGTCTGACTTGGGATTATTTTTTTGCTTAATTTTACTTATGTTTTGGAAGTGACGTCTCATTTTTCTGCCGCTGGATTTTTTATTTTTAGGTTAATCACCATGTGTGCTAATATAGTATATGAATGGCTGAAAGCATTGCAGCTTTCTCAGTATGCAGAGTCATTTGTGGATAATGGATACGATGACTTGGAGGTATGCAAACAGATTGGGGACCCAGATCTGGATGCCATTGGTGTGATGATCCAGCAGCATCGAAAGAAGATCCATGATGCAGTGCACAGGTTGAGGGAAGAGGAGAAAGAGGCTGCAAGTGGATTATATTTCACTTTGGAACCCCAGGTAGACTCACCAACTCCAGATATCTACTCCAGCCACATGATGGAGCAATATGAAACCAAAGCATGGAGGGAAGTCCAGGGTCACAAACCTGTACCAAGGAGTAATAAAACTGGCCAACTAAATAAAAACTTGGTAACTTATCCTAAACTTAAGCTAAAGATCATGATAAGGGATAAACTTATTCGGGATGGTGTCAACCTCAGTAAGCCACCTTTCTCCAAAAAGGTAAGACATTATAATTAAAGGTAACATTCAGTTTTCATGAAGTTAGCCTTCTTAATTAACTTGTGGACATACTAAGGTGTATATCTAAGGTGTATATCTTCTGTGTATTCTACTTTCAAATGAGCGACCTCATTTTGGATCTGTGATCCAAATCTTTGTAGTTAAAAGTGGATCCTGGCTTCCAGTTGTCACTAAAGTGTGCACTTTCAACATTTTGCCTTTTTAAAGTTTTTTAGATACTGGCTTCTGAAGATGTTATTTGTCAGTTTTATACAATTTTTGCTATGGTAATTTTTAATAAATCTCGGATCTTTGTGCAAACTACTGTAACTTATAGCAACCAGTCAACTGTTTTAAGTGCTTTAACCTGGAAAGGCGAAATTGAACAGGTTGTTTTGAGCTGCTGAGAAAATCTAATTCCAATAGGAACTATATAGTATTTTATTCCATTTGATAGGTTTGGGAAATATACACGATGAGCATAATACTTTTAGGGAATATGTTCACAAATGTGGATTATGAATTAACGTTGTGAAACAGACTAGGATCTGCATGCCCATGCAACGTTTACACTTTATGCTGATACAGTTATCACAAACCATAATAAGGTTCGCCACCCCAGCCGTCTCTTTCGTCTCATTACCATAAGGGAAATTGCTTACATGCAACATTTCCTGAATCACAGCGCTTAAGTTTGCAATGTTGTCATTCAAAGCCCTTTCCCTGTGTGCAGGCTCTATTCATCTTTCACATCATGGTTAAATACAGGGAACTGTCTATCTCTCCCATGAGCACTAGATATGCCTGGTCACTCGCTTATTGCACAGCAGTCATTTCAGCACAAGCTTTGTGGTCTGTTGACAATGAGTATAATTTGGTTTGTAACTCTCATTTACCATAGAGATCAGGGTTGTTTTTTTCTGGGTAAAAAGTGTTGTCACAATAAAAACAGTAAGACCCATCCTTAAAATGGGTAAAAAGGAGACATTTAACCAGTGACATGAAACCTATATAAAAGATACTGCATATGTTTAATGTGTTATGTCTGCTGTGGACTTTATGTAAGGCATGCTGGATACTTTTGTATGCATATCGTGACCAAATATCCTACTTTGTAGCATATGCCAAGGTCAGTTCCAGGTCTCAGGAAGAGTTCATCTCGAACATCACACAGCGGCTCTATTTTCTCCCGGTTTTGGTGCACTTAGCTTCCCTGACTGCATGATTAAGTACAAGTACAACCATGTGGCCGCTCCTGATAATTAATTAGTGGTCTTTTAGACTATAGTCACTGTAAAGCATGAGCTCCACACACTTTCCCTACCTGTGTGGCACCATAAATTCTCCCTTAGCACCCCAAAATATGTCGCTTTACAAATTATAGAATACAAATGGAAACTGCATGAATCAATATACAACGATAAACATTTTAAACAAATAGAACCTGGGGGCAGAGTCACATTTTACATAGTCAAGTGAACCTATGTTCACCTATAAGAATGCACAAAATAATTAAAAGATATAATTTCCTTTGTAAATGAATGGATGATTCAAGGCAATAGAGCTTTAAAAAGCTAATACTCCTCCAGTAAATCAACCTCATTGTGTGTAAAATGTGATATGGCACAAAGCAGTTGCGTTATTGATAATTGTACACCCATATGGAACTGTTCAGTTAAAATTGAAAGGGGTGCATAAACATCATATTAGGTACAGAAAACATGTGTATTAATTAACATTTTTGCTGGACAATGATCCATGATACGATTAAAAAAAAATCAGTTTCATTTTAAACATTATCTTCATATATTCATTTGATGTATGATGAACAAATAACTGGGCATGTTAATATTCTTTCTGTCTAGACATGAATATGTCATGCACATAGGTGTAGCAGGTGTGAGAAATCCTTTCTTACTTTAATGTGATGGTATTTATATTGCTTTTCCAACTAATGTTCTTGTAGATGTCTTAAATCTGCCTTAAGGTGACCATTCATAGACTGCTTTTTGCAACCATGTGATTACTCCTGAGAACACTGGGTCATTTAAAGATATTAGATCTAAGAGATTAGCAACAAGTAATTTTTAACATCATAATTCATTGTAAGTGCATGCAGACATTTTACAACTGCTTTATGATTGTTCCCTTTTCTCCAAAGAGGAGGAAGCTGTCCATGTACCACATGGTTGCATGACACTCGACAGAGCAAATCTCTTATTGCCCATTGCTCTCAGTGAGAGGTCTGCCAATATAAAGTCACCATACACATAGTTTAACAAATTACATACACAGCTGATTCTTGCAACTTCAGCAATAAATGTGTGGATTATGGGGAATGCAGCAATCCTTCCTTAAAGTAGATGGAAAATGCTGATTGTTTGAAAGATATTTTAATCTTTACTGTGATTGTTAAGAGTTAAATAAGTAATCCTTTAATTTAGCATCAGACAATAGCTTCAATGATCTAAAGCATACTCTGTTTCCTCACATTCCAGGAATAGTTTCAGCAGGCTTAGTTTGGATGGTAAAGTTTTGTAAGAAATGTGCTGTGTACACACACACAGAAGGGGGTGATTAGCATCTATGGCTTGCATTTCATTGGTTAGCACTGAGACAGCAGGACCCCTTCCTGTGACATTCATAAAACTGAACTTTCTCCTGGCACTCAAATTCACTGATCTGATGAGGACGCAGATGAGCCTTCTGTTTAACCTAGTCATGAATAGTTATATTTCTGGAGCTTGTCACAGTTTAATTAAATACAGAAGAAGGGACAATATTGAAATAAAGCAAAAGTAAATGAATACCGTTTGATTGCATATATGAAATCATGAGGGATGTTCTGGAGACCTGAACTCACAGACATAGATTACACAAATTACACAGTGTCATTGTACATTTGTGTAGGATGAATTTACATTTTCTAAAAGTCAGATTTATGAAGATGTATGATAAAACCTTTTGTAACTTGTTTATGTCACTTTTTCTAGACTTCCCCAAGCATAATACTACCAGTTAGAAAAAACAGTGACACCTATACTTTTAAAAGAGGTACTACAGTGCACCAAATTAATTTATTTTTTTACTGACAACTTTTCGGATAATGTCATATTCATTTGTTAATACATTTATGTATTTATAGAACATCTTAAAAATGCTTTTGGGCTTTGCATAGAACAGTCAACCATTAAACTTCCAACATTTAACACACACGTACTAAAAAATGTTTAGGCAGAACCCAACATTGTGTGATCTGAAGCCAAGTAAACACTGTTGTTTAAAGTGCACAGTATTCTCAAATGTATTATTTATAGGGGTAACACCCAGGGATACACCGATACCGATATTAGTATCAGTGCCGATAACGAGTATTTGGGCGAGAACCCCGATACATACTTCCAATACTCCTTTGACCGGCAGTGCTGAGGGAGCAGGGAGCCGGCTTCCTTTCCAATCAGGAAGCCGGGCGGTGGGTTATTACCTGCCTCCCAGCTTCCTGATTGGCTAGGAAGCTGGCTTCAATTGTAACTAGGCAGCCTGGCCTAACCAATCAGGAAGCTGGGTGGCATGTAATCGCCTGCCTCCCGGCTTTCTGATTAGTCAGGAAGCCAGGCTGCCTAGCAATAAGTGAAGCCGGCTTCCTAGCCAATCAGGAAGCTGGGAGGCAGGTCATGACGTGCCACCCGACTTCCTGATTGGCTAGGAAGTGAGCTTCACTAGTTGCTAGGCAGCCTGGCTTCCTGACCAACCAGGAAGCAAGACGGCACCTCATGACCCACTGCCCGGCCTCCTGATTGGTCAGGAAGCCAGGCAGCCTCGGCAAGTGAAGCCGGTGTTCTTTCGATAGAACACCGGCTTCCCAGGCACCCTTAACAATATTCAGTATTGGCGAAAAACCTGTGTCGGTGCATCCTTAGTAACACCAAATGTTAATATAAAAATTCAATAACTTGTGTTCTGTAGTATAGTAGGTCAACTCTTTTACCTTTCATTTATCAGCAGAGTAATGGAAATTTGCCAGTACAGTTTACATGTGCTTTTTTAAAAAAAAGTTAGAGTTTGGTCTGCATGCCTGGCATAGTCTTTAATGAAATTGTATTTAGTAGAAGGAGCTGGAAGTGGAATCCGTGTGATTTACTAATCATAATATCTTTCTGTCTTCTGTGGTTGAGAACTCAAGCTCGCCCATCGAAGGAAGAGGAACCTGAGCTAAATGTTTGATAATGTTTACTGTGTAGTTATCATATCCTATCCTTATGTATGTACCTAAGCTTTGGATAATAATCAAAATAATATTGTGGATGCAAGCAATGCAAATTACATCTTCATCCTTTTGCATGGTTTCTGGGCTCTTTCTCCATGAAGGGGTGAGGAATGTGATAAGTAAAGGTGAACTTTCAGGTAGAGCTGATATTCCTTTAAATCAAAAGGTGGCATTTGAGGTGGTTTGGGCATCTTGTATATGGATGCCTTCTGAGAGGCTCCCTCAAAAGCTGTACCTAGTATATCCACATATATGGGGACCCTGAAGAAAACCCACAAAATATCGGTGGGTTTATACCTCTCAGATGTCTTGGGAAAATCATGGTAGCTACCAGGAAAATGCTGAAGTTTGTGGATAGACAAAAAGAAGCCTGATCTGGCTTGTTCAGCCTGCCTTCTCCTGAGCCATCTAAAAATGATGATGACGATAACCATAATTTTCGTGATGGACTGACCGTTCATGATTTGATATCAAACTTCTGTTTATTGTTACCCACAGGACAACAGATGCAGACAAATGTATCTGGCCATTTGGCACGTGGCGCAAATGTTGGGCTCAGGATGGCAGTAGCAAAATAGGCATGTGGTAATCAATAGTCATATAGTCATCATTAGGCTGCATTTACAATCTTGGTCATTCAGTATCTGATTGTTGCCTGTCTTGCATTTTATTTAATCCTAGCAGCATGCCATGTGAAGAAACAGGGAACAGTCATATACAGCCACAAAACCAT